CAGCAATGTGTAACCATGAATTACGCCGATTGCCAAGAGTGCTCCAGATTCCCCAGGATGAGAGACATCCCATTAACGCAATGCGGTGTCCAGTAGAAGCTTCACCATGTGGCTAATTTTGTTCCTAATTGTTAATATTTCCAAGACGGGACACTCTGGAGCCTTGGAGAGCGTGGAGACTCTCTTACCAACACCCTCTCAAAACAGAAGGCTGATTGAGAAGGTTTCTTAGGTAGAACCATTATATTCAGGCATTATGTCCCTCCCTCTCCCGCGTATCCGAGGCACAAGTCATAGCAGGAGAGAAGCAAAGGCCATCTCCATCCAACACTTCCAGGTTCTCCCAGCCTTAAGATAACGTTTGGAGCAAACGCGATGCCGACACACGTGCTCCACAGCCAAAATATATTCCAGGAGACCTGGTTTGCTGTTTACATGGACATCCTATTTTCACTCAGTTCCCTTCAAAGCCACTACGCTACCATTTTGGGGCAATATCCAAAATTAGAAAGTCCCTATAATCTTTAAAATGTGCCAAAAAAGTGTTTCTCTCCCACTTCTGGGCCACACAATGGATTCCATCAACACAACCTGCACAACGTTGTAAAATTAGCAAGCATCTCAAAGCAGATGGGACACAGAAGAACATTGTATGCATAAAACCAAACTCAAACAGCATGAAAAAAGTAATTTTTATTTTTATTGTTTACAAAAGCATGAACACCTTAGGCAGAAGCAGCATCCTGAACCGTACATTTCCCTCATCCTCCTGGAATATTGGCAGAAAGCAAGTATTTTCTCTGTTCTTTGTGGTTAAACATACTCTGCTGAGGTAAAGGGGAGACACCCCACCGATCCCCACGGCACTCCGACTGTCAAGGAGCCGACCATCAGACCACAACACAAGGAGATGTCCCACAGGTGACACGTTCTAGGTGCCACATTGGCTTAGTCTGTGTTTCTAACCAAGAAGAATACTCCATCCAGCTACTTGATAAGCTCCCCGTTCTCTTCCATTTTAACTGAAACAGATCTAATTTTAAATACCTGGTTAAACGTTACGACTCTCATCCCACACTAACGTCATGCAAGGTTTAACTTTATGCACCAAGAACAATTTTACTCAAGCTTTATAAGACTGCAAGTGTGCTCCTAAGGTGTCTTTGGAGTGAGACCTTCCAGCACAATAACTATTTATTCCTTTCTTACCTGCCCCCCCCAGCACACGGAGGTCAAGTGCTTACTCTGAAAAAACGTGCCCTAAGGTTAACCTGACAACAAAGTGTGCAGCATTTTCATTTTGCCTTCATCTTTTTCTCAACAAAGTGTGCAGCATTTTCATTTTGCCTTTATCTTTTTCTCCTGATCTAGAGCTGGAAGTAGTTAATGGTCACATAATCAAATAGGCCATGCTTTTGAACCTCCAGAGAAACATTTCTTTATTAATTTAAAAAACAAAATAAAAATACATGTTTTGTTAAACAGAGAATTTGATTGCAATGACTTACCTGGAGCAAATTACTCGTACTGTTTCCTAAAATGATCCTTGCTATAAAACAGTGTGACTCCTCAGCTCCTCTGAGTTGAGGTCCCTCCCCTCAGAATCTACAACTGATGCCTCAAAATATTTATTACCCTGGGAGGAATGGCTCTGGCTTGTCTGCTGTCCTATGTCTAAAATGACTGACAAATACTATTTATCCCCTGGGAGGAATGGCTCTGGCTTGTCTGCCATCCTATGTCTAAAAGGACTGACAAATACTATTTATGGTCTGCAAGACTGGATCTATGGATCAATGGAAACTGCTTCATTTTACTGCTCGAGCTGTAGGAACTGCTCTATTAGCTCCTGCCAACTTCACATTAAAGAAATATAATTTACTTCACATATTGAAAGAACCCCTATATATACACACGCATACACTATGTATGTGTACACGTACATATACACACACATACAGGTAATCTGTATTTATTTTTACACTGACAAAGTGCTAAAAGAGTCCAACAACTGTCACTGCTAGAGATGAAGCTAAATTAAATGGTATCACTTATATGGCATCAAATAATGATGAGACTCTGGTCCAAGAGCTTCAGAACTGTTAGCAAAAGAGTATCTTTCATTGGCAAAAAAACCAAAAAAGGTCCAAATGGTTTGAATTTAACTTTTAAATAAATTGGAACCATTTAGAAAAAAAATAAATTAAAAAACCCCATGCAAAGTAGAATTTATAATTTAAATTTCAGTTCTGTGTATAACAAACACACGTGTTTATACATATATTCTATTACTTTCATGGCAAAATTCTGTGGTGCCTTGGACTCGATGACTGTAACGAATCTGGCACTATCTCACATGTGCAGCATTGCCTCAAATTTTGAAAAAGCAAAAGCTGTAGGAGCTCAGCCCAGTATTCTGTGACTCTGGCTGCATGGTCAGAAACAGAAGTACTCCACTCAAGACCATGCCTATGAAAATGCACATTTAATAAGGCCATTATATTCAAGATCATAATGGGACTCAAGTCACACGAATAATCAAATATATTACAAATCGACCTTGGAAAGTCATATTGCAGAAGATGGACTCAAAACAGCAATGTTCCAGAAATTTAATACTTGGGTTTTGGTTCTTTTTTAACATAGAAGATGGACTCAAAACAGCAATGTTCCAGCAATTTAATACTTGGGTTTTGGTTTTTTGAACACGAAATGCCAATCTCTCAAACTGGTTTTGCCCACGGGGCAGACAACATGAAGTGCATGTACGCATGGATTCTCAAAATGTGTCGTTTCATTCTTTCTTAAAAGTTATCAAGTGCCCCAGTGTCTGAGGGTTGGATTCTACTCAAATTCTGCCAATAAGGTTCAAGTTGTTATCAACTGTGTCCTGGTTTGAGGTTATCAGCCAGTCTGGCCCAAACCACGACATCAACCTAAAGCAGCTTCCATGCACGAGGAGGGGAGAGAAGATTTGACTTTCAGTTATTTAAATATTTGCCAACATGCAAAACATATTTCTTATTTTACAGAGTGTAGCAAAGACACAATTGAACCTATCCTGGGTTCATTTCTCAGGATGCTCTTTCAGAGCCAGATCACATGAAGAGTATCAGTTTATTTGATCTGGTTTACCAAAAGAAAGACAGAGCAAACGACCGATTTAACGCAATACGAGGAATGACACAGATTTCCAAGTTGGCTGCCCAACATCCCAAATAAAAAGAAGCTACCCTTTAAACCAAGTGGGGTAAGCTATCTTGAATTTAGGGTAGGGTGAGTGTATTCACACCCTGGGGTAGCGGGTGTGCTGTAAATCTAGTTTCCTTTGAGGTTATTTGCTCCTTTAGCCACTCCAAAGTTGCCCAGTCAGCCAGCATTTCAGCTTCGTTAAGGGTGGTGGCATTTGTCCAAGGAGGAAGGGTCTGTCCCTCTTCCCCGTGCCATACTATGGAGACACACAGAGTTATGCAAAAAAGCATTGGTACAAAGGCTGGAAGAAGCACAAGACACAGCAGACAGGAAACTTAATGGGCACATGGATTACAGCTCAGCAGAGACGTTCTTCCACAGTCCTATGTTCTGCCATAAAATCCACACTGGTCAAGATTACGGATGAATTCATGATTCAAGATGAATTCACCTTCCAGTTGAATCAATGCTGGCATTAGGAATTTTTTCCTCAGTACACCAGATTATGTCCAACCCTTTTTTTTTTTCTAGGACCTGTTGTTTTGCATTCAGACACTTTTCAGCACAAAGACAAGAGACAAGCCCAAGACACAGAAGATGTGACCTGTTTGCACATTCTGAACAGACAAATGGATAATCGAGATGCAAACGTTATTAAATGTGTCACACTTTACACCTACAGCTCCATGTACTTTTTTTCCTTCCTTCAACAATGGTGTCACACTTGCCAGATGCAAGTTTGTCACTATTGATGACTATGCTTTTGGCCACAGCTGGGTGGAATGCACTTAGACAGCAATAATCCAGCTCTTGCAGTGATGAGCAAGGAACCTGGGAGTTCAGGATATGGTTTCCAATTCCCCTTGTCTTATACTCTTTGCATGCTGAGCCCCTCAAAACATCTCTCTTAGTAATCATAGAATCATAGAATGGTTTGGGTTGGAAGGGAACTCAAAGATCATCTAGTTCCAACCCCCCTGCCATGGGCAGGGACACCTCCCACTAGAGCAGGTTGCTCAAGGCCACATCCAGCCTGGCCTTGAACCCCTCCAGGGATCATCTTATTTGGAAGGAGAATAACTCCTTCCAAACATTTTCTTCACAAAAGGAGCAGTAAGACATCCATTGCCATACCAGGTAAGATGAAAAGCCACCTAAAAGGCTCCTACTTATTTAAACAGTTTTGACTAAAAGATGATTAGCAGAATCACTTCGTCAATTAGGTTGAAAAGAGCCAGGAATATTTGGGAATAGACTTTCAGAAGCCTGTCTTGGACATTCACATTAAAAAAGTGGCCTGACTTCAGCAATCCTTTGTCTGCAAGTGTCTGAACAAAGAGCTCTGACGAGTACCAAACAGCAGCAGCATTTTCAACACTTTACGTTTGCTGTATTCAGTACTTTTTAACCGAATTCTCTCTCCCAGTGAAGCGAGTGCCTTATAGCGAGCACGACCACCCATAAACACAGCATTTCAAAATGGAATTACATACTGTTGTTTTCTTTCCACCATAATATTATCTTACCCTTTGCAGCACCAGTCAGCACCATAGGTTTAATGCAGGTCACGGACACCGAGCAGCAGGCCCGCTTCCGCTGCTTGCTTCAAACAACATATTGTTTCCTATTTATACATTCTTAAAAGGTTTTCTTCACTTAGCCGTACTAAAAGTACCACTCCAAAATTTAAGTTTACACTGAAAAAGGTTATTGAGGACTCGACCCAAAAAAACCCCTTTTACTCCCACAGGAAATCATATTTTCTCCTGAATAAGTGTTAACGGATATTTATATTAGAGGACTCAATATTTCAGAAACCAGTTATTTAATGCTCAATATTCTTTTCAGCAGATGAAGAGGTAGGTATATTTCCACACAAGGAAAAAAAAAAAAAAAAAGTAACAGACACTCAGTTAAATCAAGTAACGTCTGAAAAGTCAAACACTGTTCTGACAGCACATAAACATAATGTGTCTGAAGATACTCTCCAAGGGGGACAAGAAAAGTTGCGCATTCTGATTAGATAATACATCATAATTTGAAATTTAATAATTTTCTGGAAAGAAAACACAAGTATCCAAACGCTACTTCCTTCCCCTCCCTTGCCCAAAGAAATGTGGGTGCCAACAAAACTGCCTGTTATCAATGGTGGTATTAACTTTTGGACTGCTAAACATGGGATCAGCTGCAATTCTTCCTTACATTCACCAACACCAGCAGTCTACAAGTTTACACAGAGACCATATGCATGATAATTACATAATTACAATAGAAATTCAACTTTAGTGTTGTTCTTAAAACAATCTTCATAAATAATGAAAATACCTGTGTTCTAGCTCTTCAGTAACCTAAGGTTAATTGGTACAGATAGTGGTTTTTTTTTCTTCCTTTTATAAACCAAACTGGAGGTTCCTCACTGCCAACAACGGTTAAGGCCTGGATCAAGTTACTCTCCTTTTGCTTTTCCCTTTTTCTGCTTTTTTCCATTTTCCACCACTGCATTATTTTCTGGTTTGCTTACTCCATTTGCAACAGCACCATTTGCTATTTTGCCATTCTTTACGGGTTCCTTGGGCAGCTTATATGTCCGATAGTAGAAGTTACCAAACAAGAAAATGAAGGTGACAGCATAGAAAATGACACCCCAGTGCATCCATTTAGGGAAAGGACAATCAATATAAATAGACAAGGCTGTGTGGCCAATAGTCACATGGAACTGCACCTGAAAGACAAAAAAAAATAAAAATATATATAATCAAAAAGGTCTGGATATATTCTGTAGGTGTGACCACACAAATGTGTATCGATGCGTTAAGTTATGAAAATTGCTAAATTGGGAGACAGTAGGGAAACTCTGCAAATGGAAGCCTGCTCAGAGGCAATGCCTTCTGAGATAAAAGAAATTCTACTTACCAATTGCAATATGGTCAAGTATCGTTTCCACCACAGGTATTTCTGAACTTTAGGGCCACAGGCAGCTAATCCATAATACATGTACATAATGACATGAATAAACGCGTTCATCTGAGCTCCAAAAAAAGCTGTCCAGGAACAGAAGGGAAGATTGTCATGTAATTTGGAAAAAAAGGCAGAAGTCTTTTCTAGTATTTTTTCATGTGATGGTAAAAATGATAAAGCACAGGACATACCAGGCTTCTGTGTTTGAAATATTTGACAGTATAATATAAACCTGGCTGCCAACACGTGCTGACATAAATAGCTGTTCCTGCAAGCAGTATGTCACACCTTCCCTGGAACTAATTATGCAAAAGCTTTTCGTAAGATTTTTGTTGAACAGACATAAATCACATGGATTCCACATTAGTTATTGTAGTGTAAGTGCAATAGCTTTGTTGAAGGATTGTAAGGAGCGGTGTCTGGCAATGTAAAGTATCAGGTTCTGAATTTTAATCTTTTAAACTATATTTAAATGCACAAGGCTCACTTCTCAGCAAGAAGTCAAGAAACCCATGTGGAAATCTGATTAAAGAGGCCAAAAAATCACTCAAAGCAAAACTTTACTCATGGTTATAAGACATTTAAGGGCATTCCCAAGTGAATTTGTTTAAATTGCAAATCTTTGGTTTCCTTATTTATGACATAAAATATCCAGCATTCTTAAATACTGCATAAAATGCTGCGTATAAATGCTGTAATGCCGTGTATAAATGTATAGTATAGCTTTTTCCAGAATGATCCATGCTGGAAAATGAAGATGACAGTTCTCACTTGCATTAAGATCCCTTTGCCCTTTGTCAATATTAGCAGCCATCCAGCAGAAATAAATGATATCTTGATTAGGCATTCTTACACCGCCAGAGAGCCTAAAAAAGGCTATTAATGCATAAGATTAGGGCAATACAGACAATAGCTGCTGTCATCAAACAGCTCAGATGTCCATGTGTTCCAGACCCAGTGAGTTACAATAGGGTTTTGTTTATAATAGATCTGTTTATGTAGGTAATGTGCTACCAACTAGAAAACAGAAGAACACAGATTTATCCCCATTTTTGCAGTAGTGCTACATCATCACAGAAGAGCAACTGCTGCTTTTCCTTCTGCAGGGGCTAAAAACTAAGAGGTAATGCAAACCCACCAAACTCTGAAACAAATTTGGAACCAGCTGCAACTTGTTGTATTGAAAACTGCTGTTATTTATCATGAAAAGTCTGAAAAGACAACAAGGGAGAGGGCATTTTGAGATATCCAGGGAATTTCTAAGTAAGACTACAAGTAAGCACCCAGTCTCCAAGAAGCTTATTTTGTGGGTGCAGTAGCCAATAAAGATCACGAAATGTCTGGTTGAGTACCTGCATCCTGCAAGTTACTTGGGAGAAATTAAAGAATAGTCAAAGATATTAATTTTAAATATTCCTTCTTTTGAACATAAGTAACTATTCAGTAGAAAATATCTATAGTACATGAGAGCATAAAACCCCCATGCAGTATTAGTGTGGTTTGACAAAAAAACCTCAAAATATTAAGTTTGGTATAGTGTTTGCTACATGTTATTTTCAGTGTTTTAAGCCTATAAAGCACTTTACAAACAAAACAGGACATTTCCCCCAAACCCTCAGCTCTGTAGGGCTTATAATTTGAGAGACACAAGGCAAACCAACAGGAACAAGGGTACAGTGCAGGCAAGGGGGGATGCGGCAACTACAGTGGAATAAAATTCTTTGATGGGGGCTTTAGAAAGGATATAAGGAAAAAAAAAGGCTGATAATGAATTATTGTGTCATTATGGTTAGGTTTTAAAAGTTAATTGACAGATTTATTGGCTCACCTTCAAGGGAAGGTTTCAGAATTTTATACATGCCTCTTTATAAAAAAGAAAGCAAACCCCAACTCAGATACAATGCCAAAATAACATCTCCGTTAACTTCACTACATTTGCACACAGATTGTGGCCCAAAATTAGATTTTTCAGTTCTCTATATCTGCAAAAATTAAAGTTAGGCAAGACAGGTTCACCTTTCCATTCCATACAGAACAAGAATAATTTTGAAGACAGAACTTCAGGCTTGCAATTGATGCCCATGAGGAAAAAAAAAATGTTTTGCAATTCATTAGATTATTGCCCTGTTATCTTTTCCTCCCCCACGTTTCCCACAGAGGAAGAGTTGTACATATTAAAGCCACTGCTCTGCCTCAGTGCTATTTACAGTCTTGTATATTATAACGTTAAGCCAACAAAAACTTTTTTCCATTGCTCCCAAGCAATAATAATTCTCCCTTGTGTCCAGTAGAAAGTGTTTGGGAGGAAGGGAACTCACCTTGTCCACCTGCAACCCACTTAATACCAATCCACCACAAGGTGAACATGGTGAAATGGTGATAGACATGAAGGAAACTAATTTGGTTAAATTTCTTCCTCAGGATGAAGAATACTGTATCCAAATATTCAATTCCTTTAGAGACATAATACCACCATAAAGCAGCAGCTATCTGCAATGAAAAAAAAAGACAACATGGAAGTTTTAGTGATTCCAAGCTGAATGGAATACAGTCCTCTCCACCGATCTGCTGCACGAGGAGGACACCTCTTCCTTCCCCTGATCCTGGGAAATATTGAGGTGGAGTCATCAAACATCTAATGGTATGAGAACAAAACCAATGCACCATCTATTCCGGACGTGGAAGGATTACTCTGAATCTACTGCTTACAAATCACAACTGTAGAAAAGAACTTAATTAAAAGCTTTGCCATCTCTGAACAGTTGGAACAGTTTACCAGTTAAACGTTGGGAGCTTGTGTCCTCACTCTCTATCCTAAGCTTTCTGGGAGAAGGCTACCACAGGGCTTCCCGGACTAATGAGGCAACGCTTTGATGTGGTCAGAACAACGAGGCAGAAACATGATGATAAAATGAAGTTGCAAAGACTGAAACCTTACATAAAATTCCTTCAGCACCACAGGCATATGGGTGGGAAGATACCACAACACTCTTACAAACGAGGTGAGGTAGGGATTTCACATCTCTTCGAGCAATATTCCCCTCAGCTCATTCTCAGCAACCCCCTCTGGAAAGCGGCGTTCCCCCGGGGAACAGAAGAAACAGGACCATGGGAGACACAGGAGCTGCAGAGATACAAGCCAGCTACCCAACAGGGAAGTGTTACACACCCAAAATTCTTTTTTCCAATCCACCCATCCTAGTGAATCTTGCCTAAGATGCAACCTAAACAGGGCTTCCTGCTGAAATCGGGATACTGTTGTAACAGGTAAAGCCCAGAAGCTCTGCCCAGCAATTTGCTAATACTATGATAGGGGGGTATGGTGGTGGTGGTGGGGACTACCTTCCAGCTCCCAAAGCGTAGCAATAAGTCTAGTTCCTGGCATCATAAGTCATCGAGCTTGTTATGCAAGGGTGGGACCAGAACATATCCCAGATGGTGACTCACATAAGAGAGGAGAAAAAAAAAAAATAGTTGGAAATGGCACCAGCAGCAAGGACAGCAGGCAAATGTCACAACACACCTGTTTGTAAGAAGTTCACTTGCTCTTTCAGGATTCAGCTGATGGCAAATCAGACTTTCTTACTTTAACATGGTGTGAAATAAGCCCATCAACCCCTGAGTCTGCAGGGGAGGCCGAAGAGAAAAAGTTAAGACAGTGGTGGCTTCCCTTCCCAAATACACACACACTGTTAGGCATGAAAGGGCAACCAGGAGAACGAGCAGCACAGAGCAAGGCTACAGCCCTGCATGGTGTTATCCTCCACCTCACCGAGCCAGAGGGAAAGCCAGAAACCACTTCTCAGAGTGAGTTTGTCACAGCCATCACTGGAACTGGTGGAACATTTAAGGAGAGATTTACAGCAGAAGGCAAAAAAGCAGCAGGGGAGCAGGAGAGTGCCGCAGATCTGCATTGCAGACTCTGCAGCTTCCCAAAGGGACTGCACAGCTTTCTCTTGCCAAACTGCAGACTTTTCTATATCCATTACTGACTACCCTTCCTCAGTCCCTGGATGTGATTTAGCCTACTTCAGGTCTCGGGAAGAGGAGCCAGCTTTTGTCAATTTTATATAAAAAGATACTAATATCTGTCGAAGTCGGAGAGAAGCTTGATGAGAGAAGAGTCACTCCCACAGCTCTTGGAGTTCCCAGACACGGAGGCAAGCTGCAAGAGCCATCTATACCTATCGATAGGGATATAGATATGTATTGCTCAATACCCAGAACAGTTCTGCCTCTGGGACAGGCACTCAGGTGTTTAATAACACCCACATCAAGGCTTTGCCTCACACCCATGGATTAGCATAACAGACCAGCATCTTTTCCTAAGATCTTTGCTAAAGCTGCATCTCTTAAATAAATTAAGATAAGCATCGTTTCATCTCATGAGTTAACAATAAACACTTTATGGACTGTATCCATGAAAGGAGAAGCCAGCCCTACAATCCTCAAGCACTTTGGAGGTCCTTCCTTCCCAGAAGCTTTTAAAGAATCAATAGCTCTGTCACAAACAAACTGCCATCAAATCTCTTACAAAGCCCACGTGCGTTTTGTTAAAGGGACAGTGGAACAACAAGGCAAACAGCCCATAAGCAAATAGTCACTTCACTGTGTGACACAGAGCAAAATGTAAGTAAGCAGTCACTTCACTGTGTGACACAGAGCAAAATATAAGTGGAGAAAAATCCAACAAAAAACTTACGGTTTATGCCCAAGATGCCACAGGATCACTGTATGTGCCTGGACAAGTCTTTTAACATCCCTCATTCCCCTCCTTTTGAATTCCACCTGCTTTGCACAGCCAGCAGTTACAGACTGCGCATCAAAATCAGCTGAACTTTTGATCAAAATGCTTCCTATCACTTAAGGACAAAAATAGCCTTCATTTCTTTGCAGGATTATACCTGCTGATTTTTGTCTTCCTCTATAGATTTTTTTTTTTTGCCTGACAGCTCTTTTGCTTGCTTCTTATCATCAAATTTTACTACCATTTATTCTCAGAGCTGAGAGGTTTCATGAACTGATGATCTATTTCAGGGCTCCCAATGACTTATGCAGATGTTTTGATCATTTTGTTAAGCCAAGTCCCCTTCTCACAGAATTTTAAAGTAAATTATTATTATTATATTCATCTCATATGTGCAAATTACTCAAGCTCTAGACATAAATACAAACAATGCAGTTTATGATACAGAAGAAAAAACATAGCTCAGCTTCATGATTACAGTCAGCTCACTTAAAACTAGGAACTAACTCACTCACACAGCCCCAGATTGCTAACTCCCAGCTCTTCAGAAATGTTAATAAAATAGATGGACCACGATCTGGGAAACAGGGACACACAAATGTAAACAGAGGGGGAAAGTGACTGCTCACTGACACTAAGATGCCTTAAGTTAGACAGTGTTAGGAAATTTTCAATCCAAATATTGGAGCTTCCAAAGGACTACTAAAAAGCATGGATTTAACACTTCAGCCCTTTGCATTTATTATTTTGTCTCCTGAGCTATAACCAAAAAAGTTTTTCCAAGATGCAGCTACAGCTCCTTCAAAATCCCTTCTTGGGGATTTTTTCCCTGCTTGTTTGTGTTTTTTTTTTTCTCGTCTACTATGAACATTTTATTTTTTTAAATAACCAATTACAAGACACACTTCTCAGCTTCCTGCCAGCAGTCAGTAAGGTGGCTACCTACTACACCCAGAAAATAATCCCTTTAGAAAAGAGTTTATTTCTGCAAATGTTTCTGCAACTAGGGAATCTGTTTTCCATCCCCTGCAACTGGGGAACCGAATTTCCATCCCCTGCTTGCTCCAGTTGTCCATTGCCTCTTGTAAAACACCAGCCAGGAGAGCCTGGATGAGATGAACAGGCATAGGTCTGTTCAGAAAGTAAGAAGGAGCAACAACTTCTTCATACTATGTGTAAACTACCTACAGGCTTAATTGTCAGTGAAAGCCAGAATCTTGATGAAGTTGAAGAAAACGTACAGACAAATTCATAGAAGAATATCCCCTTCAAAACTGGTAGAACAAAGAGGCTACGACTGACTTAAGAGGTCTGTGAGCAACAGATCGCTGGTGTTGCTACACTATACTGGGACACGATGTGGGTTGGAGAGGAAAGACATTTGCTGGCACCCAGGACAGCCAAACTTTTTTTTTCTTTTTTTTTGGATCTGTTTACCAGGTCTCTGGTCTCTGTTCTCCTTGAGGAACAAAGGATGTTTTCTTGACCCCTCATTTTGAGCAAGAGCTTTGGTCAAAGGGGGTCACTACATGGCAACATCATACTGACCCATTCCCAAAAAGATAGAAACCAGGGCTTCTGTGTTGCCATTTAGACCACCATATCCAATTAGTTTCACATTTCTCAGTATTAGTTCCAGCTTTCTAAGCCCTGCAATATATGAAGCTGTTGCTTTCCAGACCATGGTCCCTAATGTTTTCTGCGCTCAGTGCTGTTTCCATCTGAGTTAGTCCCAGCCTTCTTTACCTGCCTAATACAGGGCTTATTTACTCATTCTCTTAGAAAAAAAAGTTATTGCCTTTGTAATTAATTCTACTGTTGCAGTTTAGCATTCCTATTCCAAGAAAATCCAGTGCCAATAGATACCAGACATTTAGTATCTAGATCTATTGAAAGGGTGTGAGAGATGTGCTACAAAGTCAAAAGTGCAAAAAGAAGCCCACATTTATTTACATTTTAAAATTGCTTTTGCAGGTTTATATTATGAAAAATGATGGTGAAAGGAATCTTGAGGAGGCTTGGGTGGTTTTTTTTTTGATCCTACAGTGTAAAAAAACCAACACACCTTCTAAAAGCAGAGCATGACACACTGTAAAGCAGGACAGGAACGTATCCCAGACTCTTTAGTCAGACAAATTACACTTGAGAAAAGTGGAGTTTTCTACTTGCAACTTATCTACTTAATTTGAGAAGTCGTTCAAAAGAACTACCAGATATGAGCAGGTCTTGACTGATAACACACTACACAGTTGCTGCAACAGCTTGAGAAAACGCAATTTTCCCTGCTTCCTCAACCACCTCAGTTGCAAATTCAGCATCTTACAACTTAAAACTTTAGAAATAAAGTTTATGCAAATCTACAAGTTTGCAAAAAGTCTTAAAAAGTCAGGAAATCCCAAGAGTAGATACTGCTAGAGCAATCTTTCTTTTCTGTACATACCATATGCAGCAAATAAATTGTGCAGGTCATTTTGCCTTTATTTCATTGTATACTAACGCTTTGTTTGTCATAATGAACAAACCAGAAGATAATTCTTTTGAGCGGGTCTGGCCCCTCCACAGCCTCCCACAAATAATTGCATCTAAAACTGAGGCTATGACATGGAATTTTTGCATACTAGAAGTCATTACCTCTTGTACTTAGCTAATATAAAAATTCCTTTAATATATGCCATACCAGTCCTCAGTGTCATCCAGCTGAGTACAAAGGCATTCTATTTTGCTTATCTACTGAAATGCTTGTTAAGCATTTGTTATTCCTGGCTAGGTTTTGGTTTTGAACGAAATTTTTAACAGAAGTATTTTAGTGACTGAAATAGTGAGTGCACAGAATTGGTAAAGGTGAAAGATGACTACCATAAGGCCAATCAAAATCTACACACCGAGTTTTTCTGCAATATCAGCCGTTCTACATAAGGTGTAAGACTCAAACCTGTCCTTCTCACTACCTCCCCTGCCACGTGCACAAGCTTTTGGGTATTACTACCCATGAACAGCCACCTTGGAGACAGACACTTTTTGAAATGTATTCTAAATATTAAATGTATTTAGACTCTAACACATCTTTAATTACGTTTTCAGGAACATGTTCTAATCTGTAGGTGAAACCTGCAAGTACAGCTGTGAGATTCTCAGGTGTCAGCTCTGCTGGAAGATAAGGTTTAGTACATGAGCTAATCGACAGTGTTACAGAAATTACCAAGCATCTGCACTTTGAGTGCTTTCCAAAAAACACACAGTTGAAATCTAAGCTTCTACAGTGAAATGTACTGATAAAAGTTGCCTCACCAGTAAGAGCGAAGCGCAACCCCAGTCTATGCTGGCAAACCTCACTGGCTTTGATCTAGATAGAACACTACACCTTCGCTGCGGTCACCCTGGTATCACGCACCTCAGCGAGGAACCAAGGTATGTTTATCCTGGATTGTACAACCACAGATGAAGCCAAGGATGGTATCTTCAAGACTACCCCGACGTGCAGCAGTCAGATGAAAGTTCATGCAAATACAGTGATGCACATTGATTAAACCTGCTACATGCAATGCAGCCAAACCCAAAGCGATGGGTGAGAATATAACGGGATACGGTCAAGGCCAACAGCAGGACTTGGGAAACACTGTTTTCAGAACAAGATTTAAACCATCACATAAGTGCTATGGGTCACACACATTCATATACAGATACAAAAAAAAGAAATACTCACCCTAACTTCATAAACATTATCTGAATAATCCACAGTCTGGCAGACATAGCTGTACCCTCGAGCTCTTGACGACAAAAACAGCTGAAAATATTAAAGTTATACATGAGGAGAAAGATGCTACATAAAACATGCTCATAACAATTATCAGCAAATTTCTTGCTACTTCAAACTTACCTGAACAGAAATATTTAAAATAACCTTATCAGTCCCGAGAATATTATTAAAGAAAGCCAATACTTAGTTCTAATAACCTGTTGTTACACAGTACCTATTTGTTTTCTTGTAAATTAAAGTACTCATTTTTCCCTGCATGCATCTGCCCAGATAATTAGAGCCTTGTACAAACTAGTAAGAATTTTAGGATGACCTTAAGTATTCAAACATGATGGCTCTAGCTTCAGGGTCAGCAATACCTACTATTCTTAAATATTCTAATATCTACTATTCTTAAAGCAGTATATCAATCAAAATCCCAGGAAAAAAAACCACCCTGAAGAGTCAAAGCTCAGCACCCATAAAACATATTGAGAGAAATTGGATGCAGAAAAGTTCCCCACTTTGTGCCAACAGCCTAAAGCACGTGAAGTGCTCCTGTAGGGCCACTCCAAACAAAGCACTTTGCAATAACCTGAACAGGAGAAGATAAACTTGACATTTGAGCAAGTCCCATTGGAAAGAAGGACACTTGTCTGGAGCTTCTATTCTTGACATTCGTAAGTGTTATGATCCAAGAGTGTAATCCCACCCTGTTAAGGATCAAAAAAAGACATCAAAAAAAGACATCCTCACTGTACAGAAACCAACCCATCTCTGCTGCTAATTTGACCAAGGTTAACTTGGCAAAAGGCAGGAGGTGACTTCATCAGACTGCCTTGAAGTAGAATAAGTAATTCAAGGTTTTGTGGCAAAGTAGAGGCTACACGTCAGGGACTTCTGCATGTTCTCAAAAAAATTTGCTCCTAATTTGAAAATGAACTTGAGTTCAACATATGGGAATCTTGGACTACACAACCCAGCAGTGCTTTATTGACTTACCATTTTAATGTAAGTTATCACAGGTGAACAACACAGCTTGCCATCAGACTGATGACTTAAATAACATTAAAGTCATTCAAATTCTGTTCTCAGCAATACCTGGAAACTTTACAGTTATTCCCAAAATACAAATAATATCATTTTACCCATAACAATTACATTACTCATGCAAATTACAACAGCAGCACAGTGGTATGGTAAGCCTTAGGTAAACTGAAGCAGGAGTTGTCCTGGTTAAAGGGAGCAACTGAAACTTGAACACCTTCCTCCTATCAGTCTCTGAGATCAAGAAAAGACACTTCCTGTAGATGCTGTATCCGTAGCCTTCGCATCCCTGAGTAACAACCTACCATTTGAAATAGCAAGAAACCAGAACCTCTGCCTGTGTCTAAAATTATGAGCTTTCAGTCTATCTGCAACAAAGGTGTATTTGCAGTCCCATTCAATTTTATGTAAATTCAGTGATTTGGAAATGCCAGGCAAACATATGCATTATCCTATAAGCCACATAGATCTGAAAATTAATTGACCACAGGCGTGGTATAATTCACCTTGCAGATAAAACGCTTTAAAAGAATAAGTGAAAAAGATGGACATGGCAAAAGCACTGCAGGATTCGTTTCAGAGGAGTTTCAGTTTGAAGCTGCCAAGATGACTGGATTTCATCCATTCCCACAACTATCCACAGGTGTCAGCATTAAATTCTCTTGTACCTGTACTATTTTATTTACTTAGTTGAATAGTGCAAGGAAACAATTTAGATAAATGATGACTGAGGTGCAATGGCTAAAATTTTACTGAGCTATGTATTAAAAAAAGGCTGAAATCAGTTAATGATTTTATTATAAGGAGCTCAGAGGAAGGGTCAATATGCAGATCATCATCAGATACACAATGTTTCACTGGCAAATTACAGACCAGTGAGAAAAATAATTTTGCAATTCTGTAATTTTAACTGCTCTTCTGCAGATAAAACGCTTTAAAAGAATAAGTGAAAAAGATGGACATGGCAAAAGCACTGCAGGATTCATTTCTCAAGAAAAGACACTTCCTGTAGATGCTGTATCCGTAGCCTTCGCATCCCTGAGTAACAACCTACCATTTGAAATAGCAAGAAACCAGAACCTCTGCCTGTGTCTAAAATTATGAGCTTTCAGTCTATCTGCAACAAAGGTGTATTTGCAGTCCCATTCAATTTTATGTAAATTCAGTGATTTGGAAATGCCAGGCAAACATATGCATTATCCTATAAGCCACATAGATCTGAAAATTAATTGACCACAGGCGTGGTATAATTCACCTTGCAGATAAAACGCTTTAAAAGAATAAGTGAAAAAGATGGACATGGCAAAAGCACTGCAGGATTCGTTTCAGAGGAGTTTCAGTTTGAAGCTGCCAAGATGACTGGATTTCATCCATTCCCACAACTATCCACAGGTGTCAGCATTAAATTCTCTTGTACCTGTACTATTTTATTTACTTAGTTGAATAGTGCAAGGAAACAATTTAGATAAATGATGACTGAGGTGCAATGGCTAAAATTTTACTGAGCTATGTATTAAAAAAAGGCTGAAATCAGTTAATGATTTCATTATAAGGAGCTCAGAGGAAGGGTCAATATGCAGATCATCATCAGATACACAATACTTCGCTGGCAAATTACAGACCAGCGAGAAAAATAATTCTGCAATTCTGTAATTTTAACTGCTCTTCTTATTTGCTTACTTCTGGAAATTCATGATCCGAGGTCTTCCACGAAGAAGACTCTCAGTCCCCATGAGCAAAGTCACAGCAGCATAAACTGCTCCTTTGCATCAGCTATATTCTAGACAGCTATCCTTGAATAACGATTACCAAACTGTTAAGTAATCCCACTTAGCTCCTGCTAAGGAGCTGATCCACTGCACTGTTACTAGTCAGTTCCTCTGTACAGAAAACCTCACAAAGCAGAAATGCAGTGACACTGAAATTTATTAAAATTAACACACTCAGAACATTGCAATCCAAATATTAGAAGACTGTATCCTTTTTTTTTTTTTCTTATTTAAAGATACAGCTAATGTAGTTTTTATTCCTATTCTAAAAGATACCTAATAGACAAGATCCTTTGTCTCACAGAGAATGGACACCTGAATTTCTAAAAATTACGAACACATTAAAGGCACCAATGAACAGCTCAGCTTCTAACAAGACACATTCTGATACCTTTTAGGATTGCTAAAAAGAAAAAAAAATAAAATCAGTTACAAGTGTTAAATCTCTACAGATTTTAGTTAATCTGTCCACTAACACAAATTCTCTCTATAGACTCATGTAGTGCATTTATTCTCAGATAGAACGTACCCAGCTACAGAAATACTCACATCAAAGGCAAACTCAGCCTTAGAAGTTTGTGAAAAACATTTACCCTCAATAGACATCATGAATATGTAAGACCATTTTCATTTTGCAATCCACAGACACCCTCAGACTGAAATAGGAATTCCCTCTTGTGAGAGGGCATACACACCTCTTTGAAAATGAAGAAGTTGAGTAGAACCATTCCAAAGTTGTAAACAACCAACAGGAAACGTAACTGGAAGGGCTCTCTTGTCTTCATCCATTTGGGGCCCAGCCAGACAGTGAGGAGATAAATAGTGCTTATTGTCAGTGTTGGAAATGGAGACTGCATCAAGGGCCAGTCATCAACACGTTTGTCTGGGGGGGGTGAAGCAAACAGAAGGAGTCAACAAGGTCTCAACAAAATACATACCATCATCATTTTAAGCATTGCATTTGTTAAGTGTTATTTTCTCCTGGAACAGCAGCATCAGGCAGTAGAAACACAGTACACTCATTCTTTCTAGGAAGGTTAAATAAAATAGTTTTAAAAATCCCACTATGTCACTTTACCTCACGCAGAGATTCATTATGTCACTCAAGTTTACTGCCTGGTTTTACAACCCAAAACGATGAAGGAAACAGGATCACTTCTGCCCAAACCCCACCCTCTAATCCCCCCCAAACAATTTTGCTTATGATGAACAGTGACTGCAGCAGCAACGCAATCAAATATTCAACACCACTGAAAGTATCACACTTGTGCATGAAAGATAGACAAATGTGGCAAAATACTGATGAAATTAATAACTTTTATTAGTTAAACATTAGGCACTAAAAAGCCTGAAATTAATGTTATACAGGTTGTATGATGCTATCCAAGTACCTTTGCTATTTGTTGTAGGTCAGTCTCCTACGTTTCAAACAGAATACTAACAATGTTACTAAAAAACAACTAAATCAAAGAGTTTAAAGGGATAATTCTAGCGAGAGTAATCTGTGCTGCCATATGGGACACAAAGCTTTCATTTACAGTCTCCTTCAGCCACTCACAAAGTCCAGAATTACACATACTCTAGAGCCCAGAATATGCTATACTAAATTCTGGATCTGTATCAAAAAAGCACTCTTAGCCTGATGAACCACTGACATCTAGGATTAGACGATGGCTTTGCTACAGAGAAGAGAAGGGAGAGACTGCAGTGACATCTCCTTACTCCATGTTTCCCCCCACCCCCTGCCACAGGATGGCTAATCTCTAGTTATAGCAAGAAATAAAAGGTAGTTATTCCATAACTTTTCACAGAATCACAGAATCTTAGTGGTTGGAAGGGACCTCCGAGATCATCGAGTCCAACCACAAACAAAAAAACCCCAAAAAACCAAACCAAACCAAAACCACAAACAAACAAAAAACAAACAAACTAAAAAACCACCACAACCACCACAAGAACAACAAACCCAAAACCACCACCCACCAACTAAACCCCACATCCACAGCCTCGCACACTACACCCCTCAAATTTTGATATTTCAGACACTGCACAGCTCTACGATACTGACTGGATTATTTTCCAGATGCTTAGGCCAGTTGGAGTTCTGATGGGAACCACAGCACAGGGCTCCTTGGGAAGCTCAGATGTCTCAACACCTGCCTTCAGTCATTTGTGGGCAAACTCACCAATAGCAATGTGGTTGCCCACGAACTTACCTAGAGGAGAAGTTTCAACAGAGAACTGGTTTTCTTACTGGGAACCCAGAGACAGCAAAAACCTCTCTATATCATAAATTAATTCCTGATCCCTAGCAAGTTAGAAAATCCTTCTTATCTACAAAATGAGGAACTCTGATACAATGAGGAAAATACAGAACAGCGCTGCCATTACTCCTCCTCCACTTCTTTCCCATTTCCTTGGTTGCCCTTAAGATGGTAAATTAGAACATCATTTTAGGAGCAGATTTCATGAGACCCTCTGTTTCTAATAAACCACACATACTGTGATTGACAGAAAGGCAGTGTGCATGGCACTGACAGCGCTGCCATTACTCCTCCTCCACTTCTTTCCCATTTCCTTGGTTGCCCTTAAGATGGTAAATTAGAACATCATTTTAGGAGCAGATTTCATGAGACCCTCTGTTTCTAATAAACCACACATACTGTGATTGACAGAAAGTGTGCACTCTTCTTGCTTCTGGTTGATTTATCAATACTTGATCTGCATGTTGCAAGCAAGATGCTGGGAGGGCTAAAAAGAAGTGGAAAAGAAGAAACACTCCTGGCTACTTCCACTGTGGCTGCTCATTCCAGAAGAGAGAATTTATCCTAATGCATGGAAACCTCCAACAAGGCTGACTGCAGCCACCAACAGAAGCCAAGGGCAAGACAGGGCAAGGAGTAGAGGGAGGATGGCAAAAAAATTCAGATAGATTGGCTGTAGAAACACAGGCAGTGAAATGGAACTGAAGAAAGCAAGAAAAGACAGTTACCTCTTACTTTTCAGCAAGTCCCTGGAACAGACACTTCTATGACAATATAATGTACTCTCTGTAAAACATGGGAAGGATTGCTTTATAGTACAGTGTAGGGTCTTGGGATGTAAAGGAACAGCCCCGTGTTTTAGACCTCAGAGAATGGTGAAATCACATCAGTGCACTGCAATTATTCCACTGCTGCCTCCTTTACACTTCAGTTCCTGCTGGCTTTTAGCAATTGCTCTACCAATCTGCATTTAAAAATAAAAGATAACACCACTGAAAAGTCAAGAGAAATGGAGAACTCTGTCTTCCGTTTTCTATCCCAGAGTTTCATGGTATCCTGAACGCTGAAGTGACAACACAAAAGACGTGAAAAAGGAAGATGAGGTGAATTTTACCCCAGAGCTGAACGTTACCACCCACTACTGAAAATAGGAAACCATGATCGATTCCAGATTTCTTTTCTTATGGCAGGAGACAAAGATTTCTAGATTTCAAAGGTTGAGCAGAGGGTGAAAGGAAAGACAAAGGGACAACTTTTATGAAAGCCCAGCTCCAAGTGTGCTTTCCCTCCTGCTTCATCAGCACTGTAAATAGTTCTCTCACCCACTTCCCACAAACACTACAAATTGAAGAACTTAACTGGAGAAAACCAAGAGATGTATTTAATTAACTGACAAGAACATAAGAGCATCTGGGCAGCTGCCATTACACTTCCACATCTGTATCATGTTTTCAGCTTGTGACCTTCCCTCTGCGCAGGGTTTTTGGAGGGTGAGACACCACATCTCAAGAAAATTCTTGAAGTATTTGCATGAAAAGCACAGCTCACTGATACAGAGCACATCAGGGACTCTCTGATTGGGATTTGGGGGGCCTGACCTCCTCCATGACAATTAATTATGCTTTGAACACAAAATGCCTGTAGGAGAGGGAATACAGTAGGTGATTCAGTACATCCTGCCCAAAACAGAAGCATACTGATAGTCAAAAAACTTTATTCTAATTCCTACTGTGCTAAGAACACCCTGCATTTATTTTAAGGGCATTTAGGAGACTCTGCATATGATTATTTTTGACTAATACTGTGGCATCAAAACCTGTGCTACTATTCATCACAGAACATGCTAGATTTAGAAACTTGTTCATCACAAGATCTCGCCTGGATAATGCAAAGTAACTTGTTCAGTTTTAAATCAGCTCCATGCACCCTCCTTGTTGCACAGAAGGTATTAAAAAAACCAATTTAATTTCAGTGTAGCAGGTAGGCCTGCTTGGCTGAGTTCTATACAGAAAACTGTTAAATGCAGACCCTTGCTCCAAACTGCTTTTCAGATACCCTCTTTCCAACCAAGATAAATTCACTCTCTTAAGTCATCTGTTTAAGTGACAAACCTCCCGAGCTACTCCAACACCCTCCCACCCCATTTTAGCAAAAACAGTACAATTTTGTGTCCTACTTACTAGCTGGTGCTCATGACCACAAATGATTTCTGCAAATTATAGAGAACTGTGACAGCTTATGGGAATACATGAGTGTATTAAATCCTGCAGCACTTCACATGCAATAGGTACACTATTACCTGAAACGCGAAATAAGCTTGAAATAAAAAAAGGCTAGCTCTCAGAATTAAAAAATCCCTCCAACTGCTCTGAAGCAAAATGACCATTGCCTTTACCTGATTAGAATTGACAGAGACTGACTGAATCTTTCAGGGGATTAATGCATTTGTCTTTCAAATCCTAAGACCCAGATTCTAATTCGATCACAAGTAAAATATCTGTTGTGAGGGCCCAGCGCATAGTGAAGTGCTTTTTTTGTAAGGTGGGAGAAGTTTCAGACCAAACATGTAGAGTTGCACTCAATTGGAAAGGTGAATCCAGAGCAGAATGAGGCACCTGCTAACGTCTTCCTGATAGAAAATTACTGTTATGTAAGGAAAGGATATGAAATCTTTATATACACAAGGTTTTCCTGTCATTTTGCAAATATACATTTTAAAGTTTCACAATGCAAAAATGAGACAAGAAACAGAAGAATATACATATCTATTTTATATTTATTAAAACAATAATTGAAATTGTCCTGAGGCACTTACCCTTGCAGGATTTAATTCTTTATGTGGGGCAATTAACAGGAAATATACACATAAATCTCTCTGATTTCTTCCTCCAAAGCAAGAACAAGAGCAGGGACAGTGAAAAGTACTGAATATCCTACCCAGCAATGTCCAAAGAGGACATAATTAACCTATATTGAAATACTGAAGGCAAATGAAGATGAATTTCAATAAGACTGCACTGATGGTGATCTAGAGCTAAAAGCACAAGAAACTTCAGTGAAATATACTGTTAAGTGTTCTAACACACAAATACTGCTGTCAAATGTGGTTCATCATTTCCTTTCCGATAGCGAGGATTTTAGATGGTTAAATTTCCTGCATATTAACTGAGCCTATGATAATTTTTTTTTCTTCCTCCAGAAGTACAAGCTTTAAAAGAAGCAAAAAAATGCATAGCGCAGTTGCTCCTACACTCACCAGGAGAAATGCTGAAACAGCACAATGGTGATTACCTCTGCTTTTAATATTAGCGTTACAGAAAATATTCCATAACTAAAACACATGACTTTTGAAATTCCCTGCATTCATATCAGATTCAAAACCAACCCTTAGTAAGTCTTTACGTTCACTTTAACAACATATGTATTCCTTAGCTATAAGGTCACTACTCACTAATTTATCTGGAGAGCCTTTCAAAGTTATTAATAGCTATTGATACTATTCTCAGCGCAAAGACACTTACAGTGCCAATCCAGCACATCCATCTGTCCAATTACATTTCTAAAGACACTGCAGAAATGATGGTGACTGTTTAGAAGCGGTTCTTAACAGTGAGAGCTC